TGATAATACCGTTATTTTATTGTTTTATTTTAGAATTTTTCTGTTTCTTAACTTTTTTTTTGTACTCCAATAATCTCAAAAAAAAAAAATTTTTTTTTCTGTAATGTTACTTTATACCTTTACCCACATTTCTCATTGGTACCTCCTCATTATTCCAGTTTCTGCTGCCTCCACACTTGCATAGCACTTCCAGAATTTGGTAGAAATTTATTTGGCATTCACCCACTAATACTCATAAGTAATAAATCATTCAGTAAGCAATTATTCACCACTTTAAAAAAACACGTTTACATATTCCTTAAGCCAAGAAAATGACAAATAATTTTATTGTTCCTCAGCAATAAACAATGCAAAAGACAAAATAAAAAAAGAAGCAAAAAATAGAAATTTCTTTTTTTTTATTTTGCTTTGTAATTACAATTTTAATAATTACTGTCCATCTGAACAGTATAAAAAGTAAAAATAAAATAAAATAAAATAAAAAAGTGAAAAAAAAATGTTAGCTCTTGACAAAAAGTTGCTGTATATTTGCAGATAAAATGAGAAGTATTCAGATGGTTAAAGTAGTGTTCATGTCACCTATACAACTGTTTATTATTATAGAGAAACCTACAAAATTATTTTATTGTTTATACAAACTTCTGTAATATTTGGTAAGTAATGTTTACTATCTGTAAATCCCTGTGATTTTTCATGCTTAATAACTGTAACTGCATCGAAAACAATAGCAAATGAGTTACAAAAAGTTTTATAGTTAGCAAAAATTATTTTTATGACTGCTCTTATGCAAAAAAATATTTATTTATATCTGTTTTGGTCTATAGAGTAAATTTTGTTAAAAAATATAAAAACTAAACGTTACTACTGTATTGTAATCATTCATATAGTGCTGCAACACAATAAATTAAAAGTGAATTTTAGGCTTTAGTGCTGCAGGATTGGAAAACCGCAAAAAATTCATAACTGTGAAAATTAAAAGGAAAAATCGATAACGGTAACGTCGAAAAATTTTCTTTTTGGCTACATCACCGAATTTGTTTTAACAAACATTATGCATTAACCGTTACGAAAGAAAAGCGCAGGAAAAATTACAGAGGGCGAAAAAAAAAAAAAAAAAAGAGAAAGAGAAAATGGCATCATGAAATCCTGCTTTTGCTGTCGACGTTTTGCGCAGACATTTGTTCTGTTGAGGCACTGACGTTGTTGCAGTTGTATTGCTGCTACTACTGCTGCTACTGCTTATGATATAGTGATCCGTCTGCATTTGTTTGCTTATATATGCATTAGTTTCGTTGACTCCTTGTTTGGTTTGTTTATATCATCCAATGGAGGACGACGGAGGTACAGCACCACCAGTATCACCTGTTCAAAACTCAGCTCTTTGGAGTGAAAAATTTAAGAATTCACCTATTGAGGTAAGTTGTCTTACTCATACATCACTTTTTTTTTTATAATTTCCAAAAAAATGCCTGTTTTTTTTTTCCCGTTTGTTGAGAGCTTCTACAGTTGGCGGGTAAGTGCATGATATAGCACTGATGAAATTGCTGAGAAAAAAATCTTTTTTAGTATTTTATACATGTTGATCACATTTGGTACTTTTGTCGTTGGTGGCGTGCATTTTTGATCACTTTTTTTTTT